TTACGTCTCCGCGCTGACACCGACCGAAGCTTCGCTCCATTCAGACAGCTCGACTACGGGCGCCACGCAGGAGCTCTGGACAGGTGAGACCGTGAGAGACGAGTAAATACATGGTAATTAACCATCAGCTGGTTGATAATGAGTAAACAACAACAAATCAACCAGCTGATAAACAACAACAAATCAGCCAGCTTGAGATGAGGTTAATTAAACAGCTGATTAAACTGGATCTAATCTGTTTCCTGTGTCGCCCCCTGCAGGCAAGAGCTGGTACTGACTGTCCTGGATGGCCTCGACGTTCGAGTCCCACAAAACGTTTCCCGCTTTCTGTATGAACTGCGTCATGCCCGTTTCCTGGAGTGTCGTTACCATGATGCTCGCAACTTCCTGCAAGTAAGACTGGATACAAACTCTTATTGTGAAGGGGAATGTAACAGGAAGGGTATTAAATGATTAAAACTAGATTTTATCTTAATAAATAAAAAAATAAAATAAAAATCTCTATGAATAAAAAGTAAACGAGCGTGTGTGTGGAATGGATCACATACCTGCACGTCTGATTATTATGTGTACACACGCACGATGAATGAAGTCATCAGAATTATAATACTGCAGGTCAACACTGATGGAATGATATTAAACCTTCAGTTTATTTAAGATGAAAGCCAGCAGAAGAAAAGAGACTTTAAAACAGCTCCAAATGAAAAAGAACAAACTGGCTCATGGTGCTATAAAGATCTTATTTTAACTTCCCCAACATAAAGCTGAATGTCCTCTCACCTTCCTCCTGTTTACTTTAAATCTCCTAATGTTACTCTCTCGCTCTCCACTCTGTGAATGTAGCTCTACCCGGAGGACTCGTCTCCACAGTCGCTGGATTTTAGGAGGAAAGTGAAGACGTTGCTTCACCGGGTCGCTCAAATCCTCACGAAGCTCGACATCCCGTTCTGGCTCAGCAGCGGCACATGTCTGGGTAAAATGCTAACATGCTAAGAGAAGAGTGCATGAACATATAACATGCTAACGTGTCTCTGTTGTTGTTGGATGTGTCTCCCCCTGCAGGCTGGTTTAGGCAGTGCAGCGTCATCTCGTACAGTCGAGATGTTGATATCGGGATTTTCATTGTGGATTTTAGAAGCGACATCATCGCAGCGTTCAGGGATGCTGGCCTGTCCCTCAAACACAAGTTTGGAAAAGTACAAACTTCACTTCCTGTTTACTTTAAATATTTAAGAGAGTAAAAGTTTTCATCAGCATTTTAGAACTTTACTTTCAAAACTCATCTATGCTTTTATGCTGAAAAATGTGGCTTTATTTTGAACGTATGTATTGTGTTTTATAGCTGTGTGTTTTATTTTGAAGGCGAGTCTTATTCTGAAGGCTGGTGTTTTATTTTGACATGCAGGTAGAAGACAGTCTGGAACTTTCTTTTCTTAGTGAAGACGTCAAACTGGACATTTTTTTTTTCTACGAGGACGGAGACATCGTCTGGAATGGAGGGACGCAGGCAAAGAGCGGCAGGAAGTTCAAGTGTGTTACTTAAAAGTATTTTCACAATAAAGGCATGGCTTTTTAATATCAATGAAATTCCCAGTAGAATAAATTGGCTGGATGTTCATGACAAGTTAATTACAGGTGATTAATGACCTCTTGTGTCTCACCTGTCAGGTACGTCTTCCCTCGTTTCTCGCTCTGCTGGGCGGAGCTTCTGGAGCTCAAAGTTCGTGTTCCATGTGAAACACTCGACTATGTGACGGCGAACTACGGCGCCACCTGGAACATCCCCGTGAGGAGCTGGGACTGGAAGTCATCGCCTAGCAATGTGCGGGAGAATGGGGTGTGGCCTCCATCTGAGTGGGCGGAGCTTATTCAAGTTTACTGACAGGAAACGAGACTACACAACCACAAAAGACTTCAAATAAATGTTTACAAAATGAGTCGAGAAAAGTTTTTTTTTTTTAAATGAGCAAATGTGAAAACTTTTTTGCAGAATAAAAATTCGACAAAATACTAAAAATAATAACGATGATATCACTCACCGCACACATGAACAGTGTCGTGTTGCTATCGCCTTCCGGCTTACGCTCCGTTTACCAAATAAGCGTACGTTTGGCTGGTAACGCGAGATCAGGATTTACCGTACCCAACGGGACCACACTGGACTGAATTGTTTCCACACTCTTGAGGCTTTACTTCTCGTGTCACATTTTTTAGATTCTCTCATCTTCAATGAGCACAAGTCGAGGTGCGTCTGTCATCACATAAAGGAGGGCTCATTTCAGAGACTGAAGGAACAAAATCCCGGGACAGTTATGATTACAATTATTATAATAACAGCAGAATGTCCAGCTTTAATCATTACAGTTCAAAATCTTCATAAACACTCATTTATTTACACACACAGTTTATATTCGGAACATTTTTTAACAGTCTCAGTTCTTTCTTTGTCAGTTGTTAAACTTTTGGACGGATCCGTCACTCCACAGCCTCACGCTGACCCTCCTTGTGGACCACGAGCCCCTTGCTGATCAGGTCGGGCACCTCCACCGCGAGCCAGGGTCCCAGTCCCAGAGCCATGAGGTGCGCGAGGCCGAAGCGCGGCGCGTTCCGGGCCCAGAGCGGCGCGAAGTGATCGGTTAGGCAAATCTTCCCGCCCCGGTACATCTTGGCGGTCTTCCCGTCCAGCTCCGGGATCGCCACCTCTGGCGCGGTGTCCGGGTACGTCACCGGGATGTCGAACTCCAGCCGGAACTCGTAGCGCAGCAGCTCGTGGATGAACCAGCACGTACCGGTCCAGCGCGTACCGTCTGCATTGGACTCAAGGCGAAACCAGTCGTTGTCGGCCTCTTTATTCTGCTCCACGAACTGGATCAGCGCCTGGTACTCCTCCTTCAGCCGCTGCGGCCACAGCGCCCGGTCCCGCGGCCCCGCGTGCGTCTTCAGCAGGGGGATCTGCGACACGGCCCTGCGCGTGGCGTCGTCCGCCATTTCGTTACTCAAATAAAGAAGATTGTTTTATACAGTTTGAACTCCAGACCGGAGAAGAACCGGAGCTGTTCGGTCTCACTCTGGCTTCTCTCGATAACTCTAACACCGTGAGATGACGTGGACTTCCGGAATGACGGGACCAGCTCCGGTTCCTGTCCCGCCCCCCCATAGGTCACAATCGGTCACAATCAATAGCCTCGTTATCATGACACGTTCCTAAACAACAGACTAAAAACTACAAACAACAAATTAAAAACTACAAACAACAAATTAAAAACTACAAACAACAAATTAAAAACTACAAACAACAAATTAAAAACTACAAACAACAGACTAAAAACTACAAACAACAAATTAAAAACAACAGACTAAAACCTACAAACAACAAATTAAAAACTACAATTAACAGACTAAAACCTACAAACAACAGACTAAACTAACCATCGGTCCTGGGGGGACAGGGCCTTCTCCATTGCCGCTCCCAGCCTGCGGTATTCCCTCCCAAAAAAACAAACCGGTTTCAGACTCTATCCACTGTCCCATCACTAAAATAAAGGCATAAAAAGCCCAAAAATAAACATAAAAAAATGTATTGACTATTGAGGAAGGAATATAAAGCCATGCTTAAATTTATAAAAGAAGTGTGACTAGTTACAGGGATACTTACAGGGAACATGAATCTGTATTGACATTGGGGTCATGTAGTAGAAATGTGAAATACATTTTGAAGTTGGTGCCTTCTTAACTGAGAAAAGACAGAAAGTGTCTTTTTGTCTCATGTGGATGAAAGACACCATTTAAGATCTTAGATTAAGATTTGACTTTTATTGATTCCCTCAAGGTTTTTTTACACTCTGTTAACCATGCAACACACACACAGGCTGAAATATACATATGCACAAACAGGATCCTATGGACATGCACTAATGAAGAGATGTCAGAGTGAGCTGCCCACAGCAGGCACGTTTCTGAGCTGATGGTGGAGAGGGGGTTTGGTGCCTTGCTCAGGGGCACCTTGGCAGTGCTCAGGAAGTGATCTGGCACCTCTCCAACTACCAGACCAACTTCCATATTTGGTCTGCACTGGGACTTGAACTGGTGACCCTCCGGTTCTCAACCCAAGTCCCTACAGACTGAGCTACTGCCGCCCAATTTACAGACATATTTACTTCAACATATATGGCCATTTCCTCAACTGATTCCCAGATTTCTTCCAGAAGGAATTGGCATCTTGGAAATTCCGAGTGTCTGTGTCCATAGGCAAATAGGTGAGAGCACCGACACTACCAGTCCGCTCGAGCCGGCCCGAGCTCCTCGCCCTCACCGCCGCTGACAGGCAGGCCTTATGTCTCAACACCGCCGAGGACTTTATTTTGCAGCTCGTAGAGATAGCCATGAACATCCGATTGGAGCACAAGACCTTCATCCTTCATCCATATCAGTTTGAAGTTGAAACATAATTTTTTCGCCATTGTTGGTTCTTATCAGCTTTCTCCATAGAGCCTGTTAGCATAGTTACCAAGCAATATGGCGGACGTTAAGTTGCGATTCTGGGAGTGAGGTCCATCCCACTGATCTGTGATAGGTCTGTACCTTCAGTGGTTAAAAATATGAGGAACTAGCTTTGTAGTTTCACCCCGCTAACTGCAACAGCCGCCGATGACGCAAAATGATGATTTTTTTTGCGTCACTAGAAGTTCCTTTTCAGACTTAGAAATACAAAGATTTCCCGTCTCAGGGGAAAATGAGGGCGGGATGCACGACCATTCAAAAATTACCAGGTTTCTAACTATGCAAAGCTTAATGCAAATGGGTGAAGTATCCTTTTAAGATTATTTCATTTATTTAATTATTATTTTTCCCCATAATAGTAGTATGTATTCTGACCCACACTCCAGCGCTAGGTGGCGGTAATGCACCAGTAAGCTGGTTTCCAACCCGATAAACTCGGCAGAAGAAGTAGAAGTTGCTGGTGTTCGTCTGTCCGACAGGTGGCGGTATTTCATCTGGACGCTGACTTTGTAACAGAAGAAGAAGAAGAAGCTACAACAACAGTCTGTCCGACATCTTCTCTCTCGGCTGCCTGCGGACTCCTTGTTGAGTATTTCGATTTTAAATGCGACAGGAGCAAAAGTTTGATCTGTAGCGTCAACTGAGCGCGAGGCAGGAGCACGTGACATCGGCTGGGATGGCGGCTGACCGGCGCGAGGACAAAGGTAATGCGCGAGCAGGCCTTTGTTAGCTGCAGCTAACTGTTAGCATTAACATGTGTGGTATCTTTGTTCGATTGCAGATGTTGTGTGTTAGCAGCGGATCGATACCCTCACTATTCGACCAGAACTGACCCAACATTTTAGTGACTGTGGACCGGAACCGATTACTTAACGAACCGCAGCTCACGCGATTACTCACTTCATGTGGCGTAAATTAACCACTGAAGCTAGCGGACGATAACGTGACTCCAGACGTCTTCTTTACACCTTAGACTTAAACACAGCAACATTCACGCATGCGCAGAACATGTTTAACACACCTGTACTCTGTTCTCGGAACGATTCAACAAATACTTGATGACAATAAATAACTCACCTGTCTGTGTGCTGTCTACACCTGTGACATGATGAGTTAACACTGATGGACTCTTTACACAGCAGCCTCTACCATCAGTGTGTGAATGGATGAGTTACTATTGATGGACTCTTTACACAGCAGCCTCTACCATCAGTGTGTGAATGGATGAGTTGATACTGATGGACTCTATACTCAGCAGCCTCTACCATCAGTGTATGAATGGATGAGTTAATACTGATGGACTCTATACTCAGCAGCCTCTACCATCAGTGTGTGAATGTGTATGAATGGATGAGTTAATACTGATGGACTCTTTACTCAGCAGCCTCTACCATCAGTGTGTGAATGTGTATGAATGGATGAGTTAATACTGATGGACTCTTTACTCAGCAGCCTCTACCATCAGTGTATGAATGGATGAGTTACTATTGATGGTCTCTTTACACAGCAGCCTCTACCATCAGTGTATGAATGGATGAGTTGATACTGATGGACTCTATACTCAGCAGCCTCTACCATCAGTGTGTGAATGTGTATGAATGGATGAGTTAATACTGATGGACTCTTTACACAGCAGCCTCTACCATCAGTGTGTGAATGTGTATGAATGGATGAGTTAATACTGATGGACTCTTTACTCAGCAGCCTCTACCATCAGTGTGTGAATGTGTATGAATGGATGAGTTAATACTGATGGACTCTTTACTCAGCAGCCTCTACCATCAGTGTATGAATGGATGAGTTACTATTGATGGTCTCTTTACACAGCAGCCTCTACCATCAGTGTGTGAATGGATGAGTTGATACTGATGGACTCTATACTCAGCAGCCTCTACCATCAGTGTGTGAATGTGTATGAATGGATGAGTTAATACTGATGGACTCTTTACTCAGCAGCCTCTACCATCAGTGTATGAATGGATGAGTTAATACTGATGGACTCTATACTCAGCAGCCTCTACCATCAGTGTGTGAATGGATGAGTTGATACTGATGGTCTCTTTACACAGCAGCCTCTACCATCAGTGTGTGAATGGATGAGTTAATACTGATGGACTCTTTACACAGCAGCCTCTACCATCAGTGTATGAATGGATGAGTTACTATTGATGGTCTCTTTACACAGCAGCCTCTACCATCAGTGTGTGAATGGATGAGTTGATACTGATGGACTCTATACTCAGCAGCCTCTACCATCAGTGTGTGAATGTGTATGAATGGATGAGTTAATACTGATGGACTCTTTACTCAGCAGCCTCTACCATCAGTGTGTGAATGTGTATGAATGGATGAGTTAATACTGATGGACTCTTTACTCAGCAGCCTCTACCATCAGTGTATGAATGGATGAGTTACTATTGATGGTCTCTTTACACAGCAGCCTCTACCATCAGTGTATGAATGGATGAGTTGATACTGATGGACTCTATACTCAGCAGCCTCTACCATCAGTGTGTGAATGTGTATGAATGGATGAGTTAATACTGATGGACTCTTTACACAGCAGCCTCTACCATCAGTGTGTGAATGTGTATGAATGGATGAGTTAATACTGATGGACTCTTTACTCAGCAGCCTCTACCATCAGTGTGTGAATGTGTATGAATGGATGAGTTAATACTGATGGACTCTTTACTCAGCAGCCTCTACCATCAGTGTATAAATGGATGAGTTACTATTGATGGTCTCTTTACACAGCAGCCTCTACCATCAGTGTGTGAATGGATGAGTTGATACTGATGGACTCTATACTCAGCAGCCTCTACCATCAGTGTGTGAATGTGTATGAATGGATGAGTTAATACTGATGGACTCTTTACTCAGCAGCCTCTACCATCAGTGTATGAATGGATGAGTTAATACTGATGGACTCTATACTCAGCAGCCTCTACCATCAGTGTGTGAATGGATGAGTTGATACTGATGGTCTCTTTACACAGCAGCCTCTACCATCAGTGTATGAATGGATGAGTTGATACTGATGGACTCTATACTCAGCAGCCTCTACCATCAGTGTGTGAATGTGTATGAATGGATGAGTTAATACTGATGGACTCTTTACTCAGCAGCCTCTACCATCAGTGTATGAATGGATGAGTTAATACTGATGGACTCTATACTCAGCAGCCTCTACCATCAGTGTGTGAATGTGTATGAATGGATGAGTTAATACTGATGGTCTCTTTACACAGCAGCCTCTACCATCAGTGTGTGAATGTGTATGAATGGATGAGTTAATACTGATGGTCTCTTTACACAGCAGCCTCTACCATCAGTGTGTGAATGTGTATGAATGGATGAGTTAATACTGATGGTCTCTTTACACAGCAGCCTCTACCATCAGTGTGTGAATGGATGAGTTAATACTGATGGACTCTTTACACAGCAGCCTCTACCATCAGTGTATGAATGGATGAGTTAATACTGATGGACTCTTTACACAGCAGCCTCTACCATCAGTGTATGAATGGATGAGTTAATACTGATGGACTCTTTACACAGCAGCCTCTACCATCAGTGTATGAATGGATGAGTTAATACTGATGGACTCTTTACACAGCAGCCTCTACCATCAGTGTATGAATGGATGCGTTAATACTGATGGACTCTTTACTCAGCAGCCTCTACCATCAGTGTATGAATGGATGAGTTAATACTGATGGACTCTTTACACAGCAGCCTCTACCATCAGTGTATGAATGGATGAGTTAATACTGATGGACTCTTTACACAGCAGCCTCTACCATCAGTGTATGAATGGATGAGTTAATACTGATGGACTCTTTACTCAGCAGCCTCTACCATCAGTGTATGAATGGATGAGTTAATACTGATGGACTCTTTACTCAGCAGCCTCTACCATCAGTGTATGAATAGATGAGTTAATACTGATGGACTCTTTACTCAGCAGCCTCTACCATCAGTGTGTGAATGTGTAGGTGTGACCTGCTGTGTAAAAGCGCTTTGAGTCATCAGAAGACTAGAAAATAAATATACATATATGGTTCCTGGTTGTTTCAGATGGAGAGCTGAATGTTCTAGAAGATCTTCTGACTGAAGCTCCTGATCAGGACGATGAGCTCTACAACCCCGAGACTGAGCGCGATATCAGCGACAAGAAAGGTATGGGTAATACAACAAATACTTTGATTAAAATAGAACTCATATTTCTATTTCTATCACGTGTGAGTTATTTCTGACCTCGTCGAGACTGTGTGGTCAGCTCTAATCTCTGTGTCTGACTGTCAGGAACGAAGAGGAAGAGTGACCGCTCGGATAACCAGGATCTGAAGAGGCTCCGCTCTTCGTCAAGCCACGCCCCCTCCAGGTCCTCATCTAACAATAAGAGAGATCCTGGTCCACCTCTGTCTTCTTCCTCCTCCTCCAAGAAGCCGGCACCCAGTTCTCGTGGACGTCATGCTGCAGTCGCCACCGGCTACCGTCACGAATACTACGAGGAGCGGAAAGGGAGACGAGGGGCCAGAGAAGTAACCAGGAGCCGGGGAGGAGAGGACGCACGCCGCCGAGAGCCTCCGAGAGTCATGGAGGGTCTGAGCCAGGTACTTATAATACTGTTATTAATAAATATATGAATAAGGCCTAGACAGATTCCAGCCGTTGTAACACACACATATAAGGACGCACACCAAAGTGCACGGCCGGCCAATGAAACGACATTACCCGGGACTTAGGAAAACCTGTTAGTAAAGCTAAAAGAGAAACATGAAATACTCTGCAAAGCTGCTCGTTATTAGAACACAAACTCTGCTCTACCATTCAGTGAGTTGTTGATCCACTCAGGTACACTAAAGGTTTCAAAGTGAAAGCGGCGAGTCGATCAGATTGAAGTAAAAGTTACAATGTGAGCCTAGTGTACCTGTCGTAGCTGCTGGCTGGGTCAGAGCTGCTTCTCTTGAAACGATTGGTCAGTAAATCTGCCCCCAAACCCGCTTCTTCTCCTTTTGTGATAATAAACTGAGTGAACTAAAAAACATCTATACCACACAAAAAACCAGAAGTGCTAAAAATTTAAATGTTACCAAAAACAACCCGCAATCACTTCAGTCAAACGTGTCTTCTCTGAGCGAGCCAGCTAGTTCACAAACATCGGCTCAATAACCAATCAAGTCGCACTACAATCTGGCATTTCGAGGCGAGGCGAGCTGGAAAGCTCTGACATATCAAATAATACACCCGTGTCAAACTCGTCCAAGAATATGACAACAATATTGTCCTCATGAACTTGAACTTTATGGGGTGTCACTATAAATCCTGAAGGCCTCAGCAGACAAAGCAGGAGTGACATCTTATTGGATAAACGCTGTGATTAAAACGAGCTTGAAGCAGCACATCAGAGAGGGAAGCTCTGAAACTAACGGGACATAATGTAAATAAATAAATATAATTTATGTCTCATCCAGCAGAACCAACGGCCCACACTTCTGTTTAGCCAATTACTGTCAGCCAATCAGCGTTTAGTGTGACAGCCTATCAAATTGTTTTCCTGTGTGTCTTCAGAAGTTAAGACGTGACGATCAGCGGGCAAGTCCCTGTCCCCATGAGGAGGTCAACCAATCCGAGGAGGAGAGGCAGCAGGGGAATATGGCTCAGCGGGGTCAGGAAGCTCCTCGCCTGCCGCCTCCCACGCAGAGGAGGATGAAGAGAGATCCTGATGATGAAGAAGAAGAAGAGGAGGAGGAGGAGGAGGGCATGGAGGAAGAGGAGGAGGAGGAAGGAGAGAAGGAAGACGAGGAGGAGGAAGAGGAGGAGTATGAGCGTCGCGGTGAGGGAAATGACTATGACACCCGCAGCGAGGCTGGCGACTCCCGCTCCGCCTCCTCTGTCAGTTTTTCTGAGGACGGCGAATCGGTCCACTCAGGCTCTGCCTCCGAAGCATCAGGTAACCATGACAACAAGGAAAAGGATTTCTGTAAAAGTGATGTTCAATACTTAGAAAGGGGCAAACTAGTTGACTTTCTCTCTGTACTGTCCCCTCAGGCCTGCACACTAATAATAATGATACATTTAATTTGTAACGCGCATTACATTGTTGGAAAAAAGGAGGCTACAGGAAAAAAATAAGTAGAATTGATTTCATCAACTCAGCAACTAAAAACACAAGCAGAAGGCTTTGTTAAAGAGGTGGGTTTTTTTAGGGCCCTTTTTAAAGCATCAGCAGACTGTGGGGCCCTCAGCTGCTCGGGAGAGCGTTCCACAGA